ACAGTGTCTCCGTAATGTGCACGGTAATGAATTGCCCTCTTTTCAGAAATGAGTAAGTTGTGCTTGGTGATGCAATGATCAATTTGCTCCATCATGTTAAGCCATCCATTCATCACAGGCACCCGCTGGCAGGCGCTCAGGGCTGCTTTACTGGCGTTGGCGGCTGCTGTTATCGACAGAGCAGCAGCCTTTGAAGGCAGCTCCCCGCCACTCACCGCGACTGCCGTTTATGGAGCCAGGGAAAGGGCTTCCTCCACGCTCCCACGCTCCCACTCTGCAAACGCATGGAAGAGGGTCTCTCCAGCACTGGATGCCCACAGGAAGCAAAGCCGTTTCTGCCACAGAAGTCTATGGGGCACAAAAGGGAAAAAAGGACTAAGGTGTCCCATGACACCTCCTGCACATCCAGGCAGCACTGCACTGCGAGAAGGGTGCTGCTGACTCGAATGAATCACGGAGGCAGAGCAGAGAAACAGCGGCAGGAGCGAGCCGGAGACCCTTGCATCGAATCAGGAGGTGCCTGAGAGGCAAGAAACTCACTGAAAAAGAGTGCACCCAGCCAAAACCCTTGCGAGACTCTGCTTCAAAAGTGCTCAATTGTAGCAACACTCAATTCTCCTGCGTTCCTGTGGAAAAGGCACAAGACTAGGACGCAGGATGGCTGAGTTGTTACTGGCATGAGCCGGAAAGCACAAGGTGTCGCACACAGCAGCCTGTCATCAACTTCAGAAGTGCCCAAGTCACTGCAGAGCAGGTGCCACGTAGGGGCTTGTGACAAAGGTCCTCATCACGCCTGGGGCAACAGCCACATTGCCTGGGCCAGGGCAAGGAGCACACCGGGAATAAAAGCTCAGCTCTGTCTCTGGCATTAGACAGCACACGCTTCCCAGGACTACGACAGAAGTTCAGAGACGAGAAGCAAAGCTCGCCGTCGCTCGGTGGAACAAACATACCACGTGCAGCGCTAAGAACTGAAAATAAAATAATAATAAAAAAATCTCCTGCTGATCGTACTTTGGCAAAGAATTCAGAGAGCAAAGGGGCTCACTTGGGAGCAAAACGAAGATGAATTGACAGAGAGTTCAAGAGAATTCATTCTTCTGCTGAACACTTGTCTCTCCATCAGGACATCTCAAAGGCTTGTCAAGCAAAGGCAGGGCTTTTATTTGTTTCTGTGGTTGCCATAACAATACAGCTATATGTCATGTCATGCAGCAGCTGAGGCTTGCTCCTGTGATTTATACCTGCTTCGGAGAAATTATAAACTTTTCTTCAGAGCAGGTGACAAAGCAGGGCTGTGTGAAGCGCCGCTTTGGAGAGGCGAGCAGAGGGAGACCACATCGCAGCACAGCAGCAGCATCGCTAGTCAGCAGCTGCCATCCAAACGGGCAACGGAAGTGAAAGACGATGGGGCATTTGCTATCCCCTCCGGCTTTGCTCTCCCTGATTGCTCTCCGTTGAGCGTGCTCCAGGCAGCACCGGCACAGCCCCTCGCCGCAGGGCAAGGACGCTACGGTTACCGCGCGGAGCTGCCGCCTGCTCACAGCCAGGCGGACTCGGCAGCTGGGGACGCAGGTCCTGCTCGCTGCAATCTCTGATGAACTGCCGAAAGGGCAGAGCAGCGTGCAGTCCCACATTTGGAGTGACTCCTCATCCCACGGGACAAGCAGCACCTCCTAAATGGCCAAAAGGAGAAAGCAAAGGGTATTCAGGGAAGGCCAGCAGAAGGACTGAACACCTGACTAGCTATTTGTTAAAATGACCGTGGACTGCGCTAGCTAAGTTATCACTGTTAGCACGGCTGCAACGATGTGAGATGCGTGACCGATGTTATCACCATGCAGAGGATCAGCCTCTGGGGTTGAGGAGGGGATGCTTAATATGGTCACTCATACATTATACATTTGGGTTTCACTAATTCTAAGAAAAACCTCGTGCTTACTTTATGATCTATAGCCCTAAAATTTTCACCGCTGAGTTCTGCACGCGAGGTCCTGCCCCCCCTCTTCCCCCAGAGCACACAGAGCACAGGCAGCAATCTTGCAAGGTTAAGGTGACGGGATGTTTACGCATAGACTTTTTGCTCATATCTACAGGAAGTTTCTGTAATGACTTAAATGCAGCCTGGCCCTTTTGTTCCAATTCACCAAACCATTGCATACAGCTTGTAGCACTACTCAGCAGTAAAACGCACCGAGAACAATATTGCTTCAGAACAACAGCAGGGAGTCAGCATTTCTCTGGAGAGCTGCTGAAAGGCAGATCCCCACCTGTCGTTTCTGCAGTCTCAAGCACCTTCATAAAAACACACAGCCACGTTCACACCTTTAACCCTCCGAGTTGTAAAGACTTCATCAGTTGTTTCCTCCAAACCAGGCTTTCTGCAATTTTCCTCCATTAAACTCTTCAAGACAAGTGACCTCTGAGCTAAAAGGTGTCAGACTAATGAGAGGTCTGGAGGAATGCAGCACGCTTGTTATTAACAACACAGAAGAAATACAGGACTGAATTACCATCACAGCATTAGAGGACAGCAAACAGCATACTCAAAGCACTGAGACATGGCTGTGTTACAGGTGCAGTAATACAGCGCAGGATATGAACCCTTGGTGCCGGGACACGACTGTACTAGTGCTACTTCTCTGCAGCACCGCAGGTAGGAGCTTCCAACGCAGGGGCACGCGATGCCACTGCCATCTCACAGCCCAGCAAATCGGCCCCTCCAAATGCAGAGACCTGACTGTATTTGAATACCTACACAATGGATAGCACCCGTCCACCTCCAGCGGCAGGTCAGACATCATGGATCCGTGTTTGCAAAACAACCCCCAGACCTGTTGCATCACACTTGTTAAAACTACCAAAATAAGTACGTTTGAGTCCAGAAGGACAAAGCAAAGAGATAAGACAGATAAACAACTTTACACCCTTCTTGTACCCTTCTTGTTTCAAGAAGGCGCCCAAGACCCTCAGCACAGAGACAGGATAAAACGATGCCTGTGAGCAAAGTTACGTCCCTGCTCTCAAACTGCACTGGATCTGAACAATCAAAGTGTTAACTCCTCTGCAGCATCCCTTCAGTCAACTTTCAGTGCTCAGCTAAGACTGCCTCACCTTGATTTCCATCCATCACAAGATATTCAGGACCCTGAGCTGGCTGCCTGATCCCCGCTTGAGAAGTGTTTAAGTTCTAATGCAGAAATAATAGATCGTTTTTTGGTTTTCACTGTATCTGTGAAACCTTCCATAATTCAACATCAAATATTTATTATTACGTTTATTAAAGTTTTAATAATTTAGCACCTCCTGCACGTACGATACAAGCTCAGTGAACTTGCCTCCCTTACTCTACCTGGGTCACTCCAATATTTATATCTGGAATTCTCAATTCAGGTTTCATTTATAAGGGAGCAGGCAACCGACCCCTTGCCAGAAACTCCCCTCCTCCTTCCCTGACAATCTTCCATCCTGAGGCTCTTCCATAAGGATCAGTGTCTGCAGAAAATTACTGTATTGAAGCAGAAACCAAGCTTCCTAGCCTCTTCTTTTGCTCCAGTACCTTTAACAAAGATGTGAGCAGGGAAAAAATAATGTATTCACAGCCCCGTGACTGGGACAATGTTAACATACAGCATGGTGACTTCTCCCATTCTCAGCTCAACATCAGCAGTATTGTGCAGATAAAATGTGACTCCTCCAATATATCCAGACTGCAGGCAGGTATTTACCATCAATCTCTTTTTGCAGGAAAGGGAACAAGCACTAACTAGCAACAAGAACACATTTGACAGTGAGAACCTCTTGGATGCCAGTCCTGGCTCTGCCATACATTTTTGCAGGCACTTGCTCCAACCAACGCCCTGCTGTGATTTGTGGTGATGGGACAGAAGAGTGGAAACACACCATCCCATCGCTCTTGTAAAAGAAAAGATAAAAGGTGCTGGGGAAATAAGGATCCTGCCAGTGCCGAGGACGTTGATTCTCAACACGGGTAAGGACTTGAGGATCAAGAAATTGTATCTTGAGTCAACGGGAAAACACACTGAGACTGAAGTAGGAAGGGATCACAAAGATTGCCTGGTATCAAATGATCACACACACAATCTTAATTTTATGACGGAGAGGGGAATACATACTAAACACCTAAGGAGTTAAACAGGTAAATACAGCCTTATAGTTCACAATCAAATCCTTGTAAGCCAGGCAAAGACCTGTGACAACAATCACCACCACAGCTCTCTTCCAAGGCAGTGCCTGTTGCACTGGACTTTTGCCTTACTGCAACCGTTCCCCAGCTGCTGGTGCAAGGAGGACAACCAATGTGCCCGGGCTCCCTTTCCAAGGGGACCCTCCTTTGCCCACCTTCAGCCTGTTCTCCCCAGCAAATAGCCTCTCTTTCCACAAGGGCTATCCTCCTGACAACACCTTTTTAGGTTCAATTCGTGAACTAGATGATTGATACAAGTCAGGTGATATCTGGCTACAGTACAAGCTAGGCAAAATGGGGAAGCCACAGAAATATTAGGGCATTTATAGAACTCAAAGAGAAAAAAATCTGTGATAGTATAATAACCGGACAAGTGACCTAGCCTTCCACCAGGTCTGACCTTGGCCCTTCGTGACCACCAAAGCACAGTATCTAGGGCTGGCTGCATGTAATGCATATCTGGGTTTCTGAAAGATGATGACATTTCCATACTGGCAAAAGCATCTATTTAAGCTGTTCAGTCAGATTTAAGCCATTCTAAAATTGCCTCGCCAAAGGTTTGCACCAATTTACCCGACTGGATTGGCAGACTTCAGGCCAAAACTGAGAGTTCTACGCATGAGCCTGGCCTAGACGCTCCAGGACCAAAAAAACTAGGATCTTTCACATCAGCTTTCTCATTGGAAGAAAAGTAATCAAACGTATCGTTCCAGAAATTACTGCATCCTCAATAACAATTTAAAGAGCGGTCTAGTCACTCAAGCATGAGCAAAAGGAGAACTCTACTTCTTACCTGACATCTGCTGGATCTTCTGTCACCAGAACATCTGTCTTGCAGCTGGCGAGAGGATTGATAGAAAGCTCCACAGGGGGTACTACGAAGCTCTTACTGACAGGCAGCCACAGGCCTTGACCCAAACTATAGGTGGACCTGGAACGGGGACAAATGAATCACATACAAATGCAGCATCTACAGTAAATGGTGGGCTTCTACTGCAATCTGACCACCTGGAAACCAGAGCAGTGGTGGTGTCATCAAATTAATCAGTCTTCTGGCCTTGCCCCAAAAGCCAAATGCTAGCAAATGAAAGAGAAATAGCTAGAGATATGATAGGAGAGCATGGGGGTGATCACGCTGGTTCTTTTAATCCAGGGGATTTTTTTGTGCATACTGTCCTCCCTTTTGATCAGATGTGTGCCCAGCAGAGCGCACAAGAGGGAAAATCTTTCTCTACCTGCAGAATGCAGACAAATCTTTCAGGTTTGTCACAAGTAAATGACACCAGCGTGCTTCAGAGAGGACAAGATGGAGCTAGGAATGACTGGTAGCACTCTGCTGGGGGTACCCTCATTAACAGGCACACACCTACCAAACGGGTAAGCTGAAGAGTCACTCAACTCACCTGAGTATCTTCTCTGGTGCTTGCTCTCCTGTGACCAAATCATATCCCCTCTCAAGTGTGGTGTAGGGCCAAGGCCTAGGAGATAAAGAGGGAGAGAAAGAAACCACGTCACGTCACTCAGCAAGAACAACACACCCGAGTCCCTGGGCTTTGGTTCTGGCGACAGATAAAAGGGAAGGAGACATGACCTCTTAGCAATCTGGGGGTCAGGAGAAAGAAAGCATATCTTTGGACTGGGGGCTCAGGTCCCACTCACCCTTCACTGTGTCCCCAGTCACTGCGCACACACAAATGACGATGGACAGGGTCTGGGGCATAGCCTTCGTGACAGCTGCACTCTCCTAAAAGGGAAAAAGGAAAAGATCAGACTTCTCTGTACAAGAAGCACGTGAGAAATCACCGCACCGGACACTCCTTCCTTGTTATTCAACGCTGTTCATTCATAGACTTCCCTGATCCCTGTCCTGGATACAAAAGCACTTTGGACTCTTCTGAAATAGCCAGGTAAGGAGACGTGGAAAGCTAAAACAAACAAACAAACAAACAAACAAACAAACAAACAAACAAACAAACCCTGCAGCTTTCTTGAAGGGGGCTCCATGATGTGGTTCCCACTGTAACTGAGGATTGGATTTAATGATTCAAAGGTCTGCTCTTATCCCATGTTCCTGCACATCCCTGCAGTTCAACCTGCACTTGATGGTCTCCTAGGAAAGCTCCCTGGAGAGAAACCCCCTCCTGGATCTGTCCTACTCTGCAAACAGCTTGCACCGAGCATCGCACACCTCTGACAGAGGGGCTGGCCTGCGATCAGTGATCCATTTTTCAGTATGGATCGTTATCTCGCTTCGAGGGCAACCGTCCCTGCATACCTCTCGCCTGGGGAGATTCACCCCAGCCCCTCAGTAGAGAAGCAGCCAATTTGGTGGACCTGCAACCTGCTGGACCTGCTGCAGCAGAGAGCTCCCCCTCTCGCCTCTGCCCCCTAACACCTTGCGTCAGGGCACGAGAGCAAATTTTCTCTCAACCCAAAGATTAGTGGTGGAAGAGGCAGCTCTTTCCCAGCTTTCCCGCTTTCATTCACACGGGAGGAACATAGTGCAGAAAGATCTGACCCTCACCCTACCCCATCTCCATCTTCCGGATTCAGCACCCTTTTCTGTGCTCTTCCTGGTGCTAATGGGCTCTCGTCCCCCTTTCACCTTCCAGCTCTCCTTCATTCTCTCTCTGCGCTTGCTCACCCCGTTATACCCTTTTGACAGCACGACTAGGGACTTTTTCTGCGCCAGAGACCTGACCGTGCTTGGCCCAAATTGATTCCGTGTTTGGTAGAAACATATATCCCAGAGCAACAAATGGCAAAATAAAAAGATTTATTGGATTTGCACACAGAATTTCTGTAACAAGCTTCTGCTGACTCTTTTTTTTCCCAGCTCCCCTCCTCTCCCAATCCTGCTTTTGCTGCACAGAGTGACAGGTTGAGTTTTAAACACTAGCCAAGGTGCAGAGCCAGGGGAGTTGCTTAACCTGTGGTTTTACCCTCACAGGCACAAAGGAGGAAAGATGCTGCGAGAGGGGAGGGAGAGGGGATATCCCTGTCACAGAGTTAATGCAGACTGACAAATACCTATGTGTTCTTTGGGTTCCTAAGCAAGTTCTTAAAATGTCTCACAGGGATTACAGTAAAGAGCTTTATTGTCAGGAGGGAAAGGAATGGGGGGTTCAATCAGCGAGATTTTGAGGAGAGTCGTCTGGAAAGGGGGAGGCAAAAAGAAAAAGAAAAAAAAAGACAGACACAGCTAATGATGCGCTAAAATGCAACAGCACCTTCATGAAATATTCACTGCTTTAAACACGTCTAATATTAAAGATTAAATGTCCTGGGATTTGTCCTAGCGACTTCGAAGCATTGATTTATGATCTGTCAAAAGCTGCTAACCTCATGATTCATAATGGGAGAGGTAGCAGCATTACTTCTCCAAAGGGAAA